ATGTTTCGGGCCTCGGATCTCAAGCTTTTGATATCTGATATACTCCAATTTTTATTTGACAGTTTCCTTAGGCAGTCTAGTTTTTAGAGCCACTGAGATTTTTATGAGAATCAATTTAGAATGGGCTAATTTTAAGAAAAATTGAGAGGGGTTAATATTTGGGCTGACAAGTCAGTTCAGTTGGACAAGCTACGTCATCGACTTCTTCCTTAGAAAGTAAGAGGACGCGCGTTTTCATTTTCTCTACATCTGAAACACGGCTCCTCCAATGCACTTCTAAGTGTTTCTCTCCTCAATTTGTTCATGAAATTTAAAGATTGTGCATCAATGAAGGCTACATATTGATGTCTTATCTTTTGGTGTACTGTGGTGTGAGTTATAGCTCGTCAAAGTTCGTCCAAAACTGTTTTATTTACCTATACACAAACTCATACTGGGACACTTTCAAGCCACAATTTCTTATAAAACTTTTTGTCATGAAACTCTTAGGATTTGATCCAAGAACCTTGTTGAGGTACAAGATCTTTAGCTAAATTATCCAAGAACCCAAAAAACAATAAAGAATCAACCTAAGGGAAAGTTTTCGAACGAATTACCTTGATAATCAAAATCAAGAGTAAATAGTACTCGTCTCTAAACTCATGATTCGAATTACTCCACGAGATAACTTAATCAAGACTACTTAAATGACTCGAGCATCAAATCAAAAGAAATGAAAAGTAACAAGCTCATGGCTTAAAAAGCATAATATCCAAACTTGATTTCAATATCCAAAATCTTGGTAGGGTTTAGGGTTTAGGGTTTAGGGTTTAGCCTTAAAAATAAACAACCTATAGTTGAAAGGTTGCAACTTTTATGTCCATCAATATCATAATCCCGCTAATTGTAACTTAAAATATTAAAGATAATTCTCTACCAGTTAAAAAATACAATAAAACCTCCTTAAATTCAAACAACATATATGTATCTTATCATCCACCCCAAAATCTTTGTGGCATAATTAAGATACTTTATTTCATACTTCTTCCTTGTACTTACGTCAAGCTCAAGAATATTTTTTTTAGGGATGATTTTTTGTGGCAGTGACGAATTTTGGAGTCAACTCCCTCGTGTTATAAGTCAACCAAAACGTAGATTTCGGTTTTCTTGTACAGCTTGATCCATGACAAACTAGGTCTCGATTTGTTAAGAAATAGAAATAGAAAATAGAACTGGAAAAGTGTGCTTCCTGCCACGCTACTCATATCTCAACACTCCCCTTCAAGTTGGAGAGTGTATGTAATCACATCCAACTTGTCTTTACGAATGTAGGTCAATAACATCCGAATTGTCTTTGAGAAGAGAGTGTAGGTCAATAACACTTTTGTCTTCCTAGTAATGAAAATATCCGTAAAAAATAGACCGCAATGATTGACTCGAGGTTTAGTTGCTTGTCCCATTTAATTTGATTTGAAATAAGTGAATATCCTCCCTGATCACTTCTTGGTCAATGCATAAATGCTTTAGAAGTAGACCGCAATGATTGACTCGAGGATTGGTAACTTGTCCCATTTAATTTCATTTGGAACAAGTGAATATCTTCCCTGATCACTTCTTGGTCCATGCATAAATGCTTTACTCGATAATAACACCAAGATCGGTGCTTTGGATCACTTGAGAGATTGTGAATGAAAATACGAACATCTTGAATATGTCACCTTTGAGCTTGGTGAGAATTTGAAGATGCTTACAACGTATTCTTGATATTGGATGATTGGCAACTATAAAGACTTCACTGATTGAGTTAGGGTTTGACTTTAGGTTTAATACTCCCCTTGGACTCTGAGTCCAAGGGGTATTAGGAATACCACAATCGGTGTTCTGATGCCATGTTAAGAAATAGAAATAGAAAATAGAACTGGAAAAGTGTGCTTCCTGCCACGCTACTCATATCTCAACACGATTCCTTCCTAAAAAAAAACATTCAGTTTAATCCCCTAGAGCTTAAGGAATGCTTAATTTTGGACGAGAGAGACCGTAGATAGGAAATTCGAACTTACCCCGTGAAAGTAATTTTTTTTTTAAAATGATCCTCAAAGGTATAGAAATAAAATGGGATAGGCCTCACTCGACAAATTTGTTGGGTAATCTTATTTATAACTTATAGAAACAAGTTTGGGAGAAAGGAAACCTAAAAATGAAACTCTTATAACTCTTAAATGGAGGCTCCACGTGCTTGATTCTTGTTCTAAACGATCCCTTATTTCATAATTTATAGAGAGAGCTCAAACTGACCTTGAAATATCTAGAACCACTTTTGAATTTAAGTTGTTGATATGTTGAGTTGTGAATCTTCTAGATCATATCCAAGTTTGGAGAATGTCCAACTGCTCGATTTTAAGATTTCTTTTATTTTGTGCACGCTGTTCATAACATATTAGATTTTTTGATCAATGACAATTTCATAAATATCTTCAACTTTAATGATATTTTGGTAACATGTCACGTTTTTTTTTAAATTTCTTTTTTATAAGAAATTAAAAATATGAAATCTTTCTTTATAAACAATTAATAAAATGACATTTTTATCCTTTAAGCTTACTTTTTTATCTTTTTGAAACTTGTTATGTCATTAAAATTACTTTCTTGGAATCCTTAAAACCTTCCTTAAATCATTTAGGTTTTCATTTCTTCCCTTAAACTTCTTCATGTGACGAACTTTATTTAAGCTATTAGAGTTTCTCGAATTGAATTGTATTAAAATATTTTGAACTGACGCGGTTTTGAAAGGGATTCTATATGAACGTTTACTCGTTTGTTTTCATTATTTATGGTAACCTCTTTCATTACTTTCAAATGAAGTGAGTCAGATTTTGCATGCATATAGTAACGACCTTTAAAAAAGTTGTATAAAGATTTCAACCTTCAACCGTAGAGAATAAGTATATCTTTAATACGGCTAAGAATATAATTTTTTATCAAGTGATTTGATCGAACATTCGAATTTAAAATTGCACTGTTAAAACTAAGCCTAATTTTTAAGAACATAATAAAAGGGGAAAAAAATTTAATATCATGTGCAAAGTACTTTAGCATATGTCCCTTTTCACTTTAGTGAAAAATATATATATATATTTTTTTTTTAACGACCCAAAAAAAATTAATAGTTCAAATAAATGAAAACTTTATCAATTTGGTTCGTTCATGATAGTTAAATCAAACTGTTATTTATAAAATATACATTTTGCTTACGATATAATTTTTTATTATTTGGAAGGATTTTTCAATTATATATATTGAAATTTAAAACAAAAATTTGAATAAATGATTCGAACCACTCAACTCAAATTTATGGTTGGAATGAGTTTATTGTTTAGTAGGAGTTTATATGGAATACCCGTCATTTGATTAACCAAGATCAAGAGCTTTTAATAGGAATAATCTTTTTTAGTAAGAATGACAATGTAACCGTCCAAACACACGGCTAGTAGATATTGTCCGTTTTAGTCTGTTACGTATCTTCGTCAGCCTCACAGTTTTAAAATGCATCTCGAAGAGGTTTCCAAACCCTTATAAAGAATGTTTCGTTCTTCTCTCCAATTGGTGAAGGATCTCACAACTCACTCCTTTTCGAAGTCCAACGTTTTCACTGGCACTCGTTCCCCTCTTCAATCAATAGGGAATCTCATCGATAATGTCAAAGCAATTGAAACGTCATATTATGATGCCTACTTGCTAACTTAGATGCCACGAAGAATATTTGTAGATTAAGATGGCACAAAGATGATATCAAGATTGCACCATTTATAAGCTTTACTATTGAGCTTTTAGTCCAAGAATCAAATTCCCTTTGGACTATTTTCTCTATAAATGTTAGCAAACCGTCGTTCTTCAAATTATATCAATCAAAAGTTACGATGAGTTCTGTTGTAGTTTCTCATGGACAAGACGATGTCGGGCTCCAAGCTTGCAAGCCTCATGATTGGAAATCAATAGAAGATATCAAAGACCCGTACGTGCAAGAGATTGGAAGGTTTGCTATGACGAAGTTTATACACCATCAAACGGGGAAAGCGTGGACGTTCATTCGTGTAGTGAACGGCGAGACTCTAGCCGTGGAGGAAGGAATGTTATACCGTGTGGTTATAGAGGTGAAAACCGATATAGTTGTTCAATCTTATCTAGGTTCTATTGAATTGTATGTGGCTAAGGTGCTAGATCATAAACAACCTCGCAAATCTTGGGAACTCTTAGCTTTTGAAAGATCTGACCTTCTAGCTTTGCCTTCAGGCTTAGCCATCTAGTTTGAGGAGGAGAGCTCACTTATGTACTTGAGATAATCTTCATGCTTCATTATCTTTATCTATCAATATCAATATGTGTCTAATGTTATGTTGCATGAGTGTTTTTTCTCCTCATTTCTTTCCTCTTTATTACAAACTTGACTAGATTCGATTTACTCGGCCATTCAGTTACGAACCAAACTTAACTAAAATTAATAGGGTACAATTTATTACGATGTGTCACAATCACGCAAGAGATTGTGTGGCACTTACTCTCACCATTCACGTTAGCCAACTTGAAATTGTGTCGACTTTTGTCGAACGACGCATACCCAAGCTTCTAGCCCAGTTTTAAAAAGAAAGTATTAGAAAATTAGGGTTGAGAGAGATTTTAGAAAGAGAGTTTGAGAACGAGATTGAGAGAAATGAAGAAAGTTACGTTATAGGCTAAAAGCGAAAAAGTAAACACAATTGCTTAGATAGCATCCGGGTAGGAAGAATTGACAACTAATCACATCCCCGTATAATACATTTTGAGTCATTTCAAGTCTAACAGCACAGACATGATTCTGCCGAAACGTCATACACTTAAAAAATATAACGAAGAAACTATACATGAAAGAGATTCTCCCTTAAGTTTAAATGAGTTCGAAATTCTTCCCTCTCAGCAAATTTAACCTATTGACGCTCACTTTAACTGATGTATCAAACACATTGACACTCGCTTTCACTTCATCTATGAGTGTATCGAAAAGAGACAAATCGTCGTTGTGGAGTTCATATGCAACAAAGAGCAACGTTCAGATATTAGAATGGTAAGTAATTGCAAAATTGTGTAAATTTTAATAATTTGTTTAAGAGATTTGTTAGTAGTCTTCAACTTGGGTAGAAATTTTAGGAAATTTGATAGTGCTTTCTCTTATTATAAATACTCATCAATGTGCCCGTGAAAGTTACAACGTTGGGCTAAGCTGAAAGTTTCTGTAACTGTCCAAGTCCACCGTTAGCAGATATTGTCCTCTTTGGACTTTTCTTTTCGAGCTTCCCCTCAAGGTTTTTAAAACGCGTTTGTTAAGGAGAGGTTTTCACACTATTATAAATAATGATTTGTTCTCCTCCCTAACCGATATGGGATCTCACAATTCACTCACCTTTGAGCCCCAGCGTCCTCACTGGTACTCGTTCCCTTCTCTAGTTGATGTGGGACCTCCTATCCACCCCTTTCAAGGCACAGCGTTCTTGTTGGCACACTGTCTCATGTCCACTCCAAGTATAAGTTCAAGTACGCTAGTCGCTTGTTGGCACACTGTCTAGTAGGGGCGCCACCACTCCTCTCCTCTGCCTCCCCCTCTAGCAGATATTGTCCTCTTTGGACTTTTCTTTTCGAGCTTCCCATCAACACACTGTCTTATCTTTCGTCCATCCACTGTTCCTAGTACGCTAGTCGCTTATTCGGATGCTGACTGGGCTGGTTGTCCCGATACTCGTCGTTCTACATCCGGCTATTCTATTTATCTTGGTAACAATCCCATTTCTTGGAGTGCCAAAAAGCAACCTACTGTATCACGCTCCAGCTGTGAATCTGAGTATCGTGCTCTTGCCACAACTGCTGCTGAACTTCTTTGGGTTGCGCATCTTTTGCATGACCTCAAGATCCCTATTTCACAGCAGCCCTTACTCTTATGTGACAACAAAAGTGCTATTTTTTTAGCTCTAATCCTGTTTCTCACAAGCGGGTCAAGCATGTTGAACTAGATTATCATTTCCTTCGAGAACTAGTTATCGCTGGCAAACTTCGTACACAATATGTACCCTCTCATCTCCAAGTTGCTGACATCTTCACAAAGAGTATTTCTCGACCTCTCTTTGAATTTTTCAGATCCAAGCTTCATGTTCGTTCAAATCCGACGCTCAGCTTGCGGGGGGTGTTAAGGATAGTTGACCGTTCATTATAAGGCAAATATCTAGATATTTGCCTTACATTACCGGTTACCATATTTTCCCTTTTACTAAATGCAAATATATTGTATTCATTTATTATTCTTTCCTTTTATCGCTATTTCCATATTATTTGTAATTTACCTTATTTCTGTATTCTGTAAATGATTATAAATAAGAGAACTCTGACCGCCATTTGGGTGTGATGGATTAATCAAACATTCACAGTCGGGTAGCCGGAGTGTACCAGGGGCATGGAAACGGCGGCGCACTGGTGGAGGAGACTTTTGTTGTTGATGAGTCGCCGCCGAGGGGGAGGCAGAGGAGAGGAGTGGTGGCGCGTGTTGAAGTGGAGGAAGAGAAGGAATTGGGAGATTGCTGTATCTGTTTGGATGAGATGAATAAGAAGAGGGAGGTGATAAGGACTCCCTGCGGGCATGCGTATCATGAATCATGCATCTTCGAGTGGCTCAACCTCCATAACTCTTGCCCTCTCTGTAAGAGGCCACTGCCATTGGAGGAGGACTCACCCTGACTTTCTTTTCAGTTAATTACCCATTTTTCTGAGGGCTTATTTGCAATTTTTTTTACTACTCCTTGTAGTAATACTATTAATAATTGTCCTTACTTGCAAATATTTTGTCCTTACTTCTATCTGTATTGAACATAGCCACCAACTCCTTGTCGTTGCACGTATCCCTTTGCTATAAGTCTTGCTTTGTGCTTAATGGTATTCACTCCAAACCAATGGGCTTGTGACTAGACAGTAAGTTGGTAAGTGCCCACGACTTATTTATCTCGATGGCTTCAAGTTCTTTTTGTATGGCCTCCTACCACGTCATCTCAGTTGCAGCCTCACGATAAATTGTTGGCTCCTCGACAACAAGCAATAGCATAAATTTCAATGAGAGAGAAAATTTTCTTTAGCCAACCTTCTATTGTGGGTTCTTCTACGATCTTGCCCGATCTCCCTTGTTCTAAAAAGTTCATCTTATCTTTTGGTGTCATTGATGATGACGTGTGTGGACTTGTTGGTGTCAGTGTTCGTGCACTTTCTATGTCTGTTACATCTCCCTCGTCTTCTAGAACTATGAACTTTGCAATAGTCTATTTGTTCTCGTTGACGCTACATGAATTCCATTTCTTTTTTCTTCAAATACTACATCTTTGTTCACATGAAATTTCTCATATTACGGATCATACAGCCTATGTGCCTTCGTCCTATCCTCTACGCTAAAGTACACCATCTTTGGCTTTTGTCGTTAAGTTTCTTAATATATGGTTTGTAGCCTTAATAAGTATTGTACAACTGAATACTCTGAGATGCTCAAAGTGAAGTTTCTTACCGAACCATACTTCATAGATGGTACGAGTGCCCAACACCTTTGTTGACTAACGGTTTAGAAGATACACCACATGTCTTATTGCCTCGCCCCAAAAAAATTGTTGGGACCTGCATGCTTTTGAGTAAGCTTCTTTTGGACCATAATTATAGGGTTTACAAAATAATGACCAAATTAATCATGCATTTTAAAAATTAAAAAAAAAACTAAATTAATAAAAAGACCGTGAAGTTTATACTTTATCTCAAAAATACCCTTTAGACTTTCTAGAGTTTCAATAATGTTTTTCAAAAATACTCATGAAACTTTAAAAGTAGCATTTAAATTTTTTATAATAAAAAAATGTTAAAAAAATTATCGTCAATATCTGATCGAAAATCGTTTATCAATATCTTATAGATTATGTCCAAACTTTTAATATTACTTTTAAAAAATTAAGAATATATTTTAAAAAAAATATAAGAGTATTAATAAAACTTTTAAAAATTAAAGAGTATTTTCTAAATATTTTTTAAAGTTTAATATTTTATTAATTTGGCCTTTAAAAAAGGTACCACATATTTATTATTGAAAAATATATATAAAAACATAACATTTCAAAATTAAATTGAGTTTAAAATACTCCAAATCATAAATGCATTAATTTAAATTTAATATTAAAAAAACAACAATTTCAAATCCCTTAAATCGAGGATATAAATGATTAATATTTGAAAATATCGAAGTATTGACACAATATTAAGTAACCATCCATTAAACGGACAATACCCGGACAATACCCTGTATCGACATTTATGAAACAAATTGAACAGACATAATCATGAACTCCAAATGTCATTTCAGTTATGCACGAGCATAAACTTGTTTTAGCATAATCATGAACTCCAAATGTCATTTCATTTATGAAACAAATGGAAACTTCTCTCTAGACGCATTTTAAAAAACCCGAGGATAATATCTGCTAGTGGTGGGCTTGGATCGTTACTAATGGTATTAGAGCTAGAAGTCATCGCTAGCTAGTGAGTCCTGAAAGGGGGTGGACATGAGGTGGTGGGCCAGCATGGAAGCTGGGTCTCAAAGGGGATGGATTGGGGGGGAGTCGCATATTGATGGGAGAAAGGAAGAGTGTGAGGGATGATGCTGGGCTCCGAAGGGAGGTGGATTGTGAGATCTCACATCAGTTGAGGAGGAGAATGAGAAAACCTCTCCCTAGTCAACTAGGCCTCAAAGGGGGTGGATTGGAGGGGTTGCAAATAGATTGGGGAAGGGAACGAGTGTCAGGGATGACGCTGAGCTCCAAAGGAAGGTGGATTATGAGATCTCACATCGGTTAGGGAGAAGAACGAGAAAGCCTCTCTCTATCTAGCACATATTAAAACCTTGAGAGTATACCCGAAAGGAAAAACCGATAACGAATCATCGTGCAGATTAAATGAACATCTCGATTATCTCATTAAAATGAATAGTTTTAATTATTGACGAAACTACCCTCCATAGTGAAACCTGAAAAGCATAGGGAAAGTAGGTGTTGTCTTAACAAAACAAAAAAGTCCTTAAAAATAACAACTTTATCTTGTTTCACTTTTGGCACACCAACTTCAAATTATTTTTTTTTTCACTTTTCACGAAGACCCTCAAAAGAATACAAAATTTGAATTTTAACCCTAAAAACGGTGGTTTCCACCGCCACCCTTCATTCTGGAAGTCTCTTATTATTTCCCCTTTCATTTTTTGGAAGTCTAGCAATGCTTATTAACTTAGTTTAATACGATATACGATCGGTATGACAACTAATTTGAATTTGGTTCATATCATTGATAACGAACCACTACAAAGGGAGTAAGATTCGGATTACCTTGTTGATCGAATATCTCAAGACAAGAATATTGTTTGAGATTCGAATTACTCCACAAGCAAGATCGATCATGTCTAGCTTGAATTATTCTTGTTGATCAAATATCTCAAGGCAAGAACACTTGCTTGAGATTCGAATCACTCCACAAGCAAGATTGATCATGTCGAGCTTGAATGATTCTACATACAACCTAAACTACATAGAATTGCAAATAAACTTAGTCATTGGCTAAAGAAGAGCACAAATGCTTCTTTTTACTATATTTTTCAAGTCCCTTACAAATACAACATACATGGCTTTATATAGCCTCAAAATGAAACTACTACGCATTCCAAGAATTGTAACATTCATACTTAATGTTCATAATTAACCATTATGTAATTGTAACCTAAAGTAAATAAAAAGTTCTAAAAACTCTAAATTGTAACCCACCCAAAATTTATAACAATCAAACTTCACTCTTCTTCAATGTGGCATGCATTGAAACATCTTTTGATAATTTTGACAACTTTTTCTTCACATCGTCATTGAAGTATATTGTATGATTGATGTTTTTTGGTTCATATCAACAACCCTAAAGGGGGTGAATAGGATTTTAATGGTAAAAGTATTTAAACGTAATTAATTTTTTTTTTAATAATGAAACTTTTTATAAATAAGTAAAATATGATAATTACTCAACAAAATAATTCAAGTCAAAATAATAATCAAGTAGAACATGCCATAAATCACAATAATAATTTTGAAATTAAATAGGAAAGAGTTAGAGAAAATGACATTGTAGTTTTATAGTGGTTCGGTCAAACTCGACCTACTCCACTCCCCAAGCGCCTCCTTGGGAATTTGAATAAAGAACTTTCTCGACTCTTTCCACAGATCAGAGTCAAACCGCTACACCGCTCTTTTTACTAGTTCAAGAGCAAACTCAATCCTTTCCACGACACAGGATCAAACCGATACAAATATTTGAGTTTGATAGTAACACACCACAACTCTCTTAAAGAGTAGATTTACAATTTGGGACACTCACAACTGTTTTCTCACAATACAATAATAATCTCTCTCAAGAATAAGATAAAGAGAAATAAACTTGTAAGTTTGAGGAAGTTGATGAGTTTATATAGAGAATAAAAGTGGCAAAATGTAGAAATTAATATTGATCACTGGATTGTGTTATGAATAATGGAAGGTGAAGATTAAAAGTAAATAAATAAGAAAAAATTGTAAATTCATTTATTTAAATTTTTTAATATAATAATAATAAAAAGTGATAGGAGTAATAGTCAAATAAAATTCAAAATTTATTATAAATATAATAATATAATAATAATAAAAGCGATGTGTGTAACTACCAAAATTTTAAAATATAATAATATGATACAGTAATAATAAAAATCGATGTGAGTAACGGTTAGATTCAAATTTATATTTTGTAAAAATAATGTTATTTAAAAATATAATAATAAAAAAAACTCCACCAGTTGTTACTCTTCCAATATTATAAATCTCATATTTTGATATATTTTGATTTGTCCATCATTTTGATTTTGCTGCCACATCATCACGTCGGGTATGTTGTCTCGACTCTAATTTCTTCTTTTTAGCTCTGATTTGAGTAATTGATTGAAATTAATTAAAGTGAGATCAAGGGCCAAAAAACCAACCCTTCTAATATATACCTCTAAGATCGAACGTGCAACTGTCCAAGTTCACCACTAGCATAGAAAGAGTCTAGCCCTATTCCGACGAGTACTTCACACCGTCTGGTGACTAACTCTAATACCATATGTAGCAGCACAAGCCCACCACTAGTAGATATTGTCCACTTTTGTTTGTTATGTGCCGCCATCAACTTCCGAAAAAAAAAATGAGAAATCTTCAATTAAAAAATTATAATGAAACCACTTAAAAAAATATGCTAACTCTAATGTTAACTTCAATATTAAACGAAAAAAGGGTTTAAGATGGTTATGATAAGTTTTTATTCCATGACATATGTCGTATGTTGTTGATGCTCGTGTAAATCGCAGAGGGCTATTACAATGTGTACACTTTGTATCTTCTGTCTTGATAATAAAACCTTTGAATTGAGAGGTCAATATTTAGAAACGTTGATATGACATACAAGTAATGAACCAGTAGGTATTTCAAGATCTTATACCGTCAAGCTTGACTAAGGTTAGATAGGACAACACGTGGTGGCTACTTGAGTAGTTACTATCGTGTGTGAAAATGGGTCAAGAGCCAAGGTTGTGGCTCTGTAAACCTGCCCTGAGATGGGATGATGGTTTACATTTATAATTTAGATAATGATGAGTGTCATTATGGTGTGTGGAA